TCTCCTATTGTGAAGTTATGTTTTCTTTTTAAATTGTAGGGAATTTCAGGCTGATAAAACATGATTTAATTCAAAAGCAAGCACAATTTGATGCAAATAGATGTTTGTGACATAACCTCAAAATAGACCGCTGACGCGGAGAAGTAGAAAACTATGACAATCAAGGAGGCCATAAAGGCGCCCTACAATTGTAGGGACGACTTACGATACGGGCCTTAGTCACAGTGGTGGATCACAGTGGTGGATTTAGGCAACTGTCTGGAGGAGGGGGACGCAGTGGTACTCAGATGGTTCATGCCAGATCGGCTATTGAGAAGTAAAGAGTAGGGGGCGGGCTGGAGGACGAGTGTGGAGGCTGGTCTGCATTAGTAGTTGGGAGACCACATGTCTTTGCGATACTAAAGTTCGCAGGGAGTTGTTGGCGCTAGCTCTCGATTCCCATATTTCTTTTCCCTGGATTTGCCTTCGGTCAGACATTCCCTTGAGTCATATCTAATTTGATAGGATAAATGAGAATTTCTCATAGTATTTACCATAGGAAAACGAAATACATCGATACCAATTTTTAAAAGCACACTTTATGATAGTCATTATTTGAATGGGTGATAGAGGAGGTTAAAAGGAGCAAAACGTTTCATATAACATGGGGGTCAAAACGGCATTTTTTTTAGAGGAAAGCGACTTTAAAGTAAAATAAAATCTGACACCGCCGCAATGCCAGACGCAAATTACGACGGAACGCAGTGCAAATACAGATGGTGTTTGTTATTTTTGGCTCTTAGGTGTTATTTCATTATTTGATAATGTACTCGTAAAATGCAAACAATTAAAATAAAAACGGACTGACCACTAACTGCCTCAGCGCTTCACCTGGTGCGTGAAAGTTTATTGAACGTATTAAAAAAATCCACTTATAGATAGGGACACAATTTTGATACATACATTGTTTTTCTTTTTAGAACCCACACTGCACATTTTTGTATTTAAAGAAGGTGTTCTAAATGTCGTCCTCCACTTTCCACACAAGTTTCATTACGACGAACCCAGTTTCTTCTTACTCTAGGTCCTCGAAGTTGTCCATTTATTATTACAGCAGCATTAAAATTTTTTTTCGCGAAGTTGTGTTTCAGTTGTTATTGGACCAGCCCCATAAATCATCTCTTTAAGTTCTCCCCAATACCAGACATCCATCGGACTGAGGTCAGGAGATCTTGCTGGCCATTGTCGAGGGTCAGGAGCATTTCGACCGATCCAGCGATTTGGATAATGTTCATTCAAATACTGAATGACGTCATGGAGAAACCACAAATTCTGTCTCTGTTGTAATGACATGTTGTCTAAGGTCTGTTCCAAAAGTTCTGGTAGGTTAGTGGCTAGAAAGCTAAGGTATCTTTATCCTGACAACTTTGGGGGTAACTCGAAAGGGTCAATTACCTGATCGTCAAGAATACCCGCCCAAATATTTATTTCAAAACGTTGTTGGAAATGACCTTCATGAATGGTATGAGGATTTTCTTGGGCCCACGTGTGACTATTATGGAAATTTAATATCCCGTCTCGCGTAAAAGTAGATTCGTCCGTCGCCAGAATGTTTTTAAAAAAATGTTTTTGTGCAAAAACCACTGACAGAATGTTAGTCTGCGAGAATAGTCTTCTGGTAACAAGGCCTGCACAAATGTCCTTCTGTCTGGGTGTACCCGTTGGCGAAATCTGTTGCGATAAATTTGAGCTGCAAGATTTGACTTCTGACGCGTTTCACCGTAAACTAACAACATGTCGGCGAACTCTTGATTTGAGAACTTTGTAAATAAACACGACGACGTACGCGAAAGGAAACAAAACGATAACTAATCTCTGTTACCGTTTGCGATCGATTGCCAGTTTGATAAGAGTGGTGAAAGACCGACGCGCTGTTGTCATGTGTAGTTTAAATATTCAGTTTAATGAAACTTACTTACTTACTGACTACAAATTTTGGCTTAGAAAAAACTAATGCCATTTATTTGTTAATTACCCAAATTAAAAACGTTTTAGATTAGATTATAATAATTGGTAAGATTGTGGTGATTGTCGTCGATATAAAGCACTTAAAGTTGTAAACTATAAAGCCATTTCAAAAATCTATTGACTTTTCTACCATGGGTCATATGAACTTTTTGACTTGCTGTGACCCCCTGTTACCCATTTCAATAATGAATACCATAACGTTTTCACCCTGTATAGGTTCAATTTAAAAAATGCTATCTTTCATTTTTAATACGAAACTGTGAAAACGCTATCGGCCATAATGTGACATTATACAAATTGTAAACAGAGAAACTAAACTAACCAGCTGAACTCAAGTTGTAACCTTAAATATCTCTAAAAACCTTCTAGTTAACGTAAAAGGCTATCGATTCCTCGTCTTATTAAAAAAAAGCAATCATAGGCGATGGACTCGTGTGAGCAGAAATTTGCGAAAAATTAACACATTGATGGTTGGTGTTTTTTGCGTTTAACCCAGATTTCTGCTACACTGAGTTGGGAAACGTCAAGACTTCTGTATTACTACAGTGCACCTGATATAAGGATATACATAAAAAAAAGAATTAGTGATACACTTACATAATCTTCTTTTTCATTCAAAACTAAGCTTCTGCATCATAACCTGTAAATTTTATCTAATATTGTATTTCTTCTTACATAGGTTACGAACATAAGGTATACTCCAAGCAATACACTGTGTTGCATGTGTTTATTTCGCTGAGCACTCTAACCCACAGCTTTCCTGGGCTCTGTTTCGATGCGTTTTTACATTGTCGGACGATGCAATAACAATAATTACTAAATTTTTCATGTAAGCTAGTAGACGTCTTGTTTATTATGTTCAAACGTTTGAGAGGTCATTGCTGTCAGCTGCTGTTTACAAATGGTATGGTGCCAGAGCCCGTTAGTATCGGCCAAACAAGGCGGATAGAGTTTTCGCCTGTCTAAGAAAAATATATTTTCAAATTAAAGTTATATGGTCTTTTAGGTCTGAAAAAATACAAAATCGCTTTTTTGGGTTTAATTGAACAGAGATATTAACTATTTAAGACCTACTTAAAAAAGTGTCATCTAGCCTAATGAGATCTACAATAATACAAAACTACGTTAAATACGGTATACGGTACGAGCACTGTCATACCACTCAGACCAAAAACCCTACAAAATGCCGGACAGGACGGACGCATAAACATTTGGCCGAACATGACCAAAAAAAACCAAGCATGTCCGACTAATGCCGGACGGATGGCAACCCCACTTAGAAAAAATATTTAGATACGGATTTTTTGCATAATCTTATTCGTAAAGGACCCTTTTTCGAGAATTTGCATGATGTCAAGCCCAAAATTGAGTCACATACATAATTGTTTAATCATTTTTGTAAATTCAAAAAATTGTTTATTTTGCTTCGATGCTGATCGAGTGTCATGGTTTTCAATGCTATTCTCAACAAACAAGATACTTTGGAGCTTAACTTTTCTCTAAGGTTGTCATGTTTCGTGATATAAGCGATTTAATATTTGGAAAAATGCCCAAATATTCCATCCTGAACCCTAAAAGCAATGTAAAAATATAAAAGTTTTAATGTCGCCAATACTCCCAATTATTTTTCAAGAATCTATTAACAATATTCTAAAGCATTTTAGGAGGTATTGGTATCGTGATCTTTGTTTTTTAATTTTTAATTAAGCGCTCAATGTAAATTCTGCGAGTGCGAAAAAGATGTAGCATCGGCCGCCTCTATGTTGCATCTCTCTCGCACTAAAAATAGCCGCCAGATATGGAAAAATGCTTCTTAATGATGTTTAAGTTGGAGATCTAGAATTTAAGACTTCTACAAATCAAGGCTTTTTTTTACTGAAGTGACTACAAATTTAGATATTTAAAAACTGACATATGGTGGTACAGTGATAACGTACTTAGCTTCGTTGGCAATGCGTCACCTCGTCTACGAGTATGATGAGTTAGATATCAAGGTCCTTATGAAAATTACTGTATTGTATTAATTCACATATACATATATATATATAGGCATTCTTGAAAATGTCGAGCTGACAATGTTCACATAATTAAAAGATGATCGGAAAGCTCTCATCTCTAATTATTTTGGAGCTAGCATAGATCTGTGGGGAACACTCGTGCTGACATTATGAGATAAAGAGAAGAACCGGATGATTATGATGAAGGCTGGATTGGAGTTCAGCCACAAATATGTAAAGCCTCCCTGAGAAAACCATATGATAGAAGTTGGCAGAAGAAGATTAGGTAATATCAAAAGCAATGGCGTTAGCTGCACTAAACAGTTGGTTGGAGCTGTTTTACTGGATCCCTAAAAAAGTGCAGTCAAATATTTGATGGACTTTTGAAAGGTAACAAAGCCCTGATACGACATTAATGTGGTATCATAGCCCTTTGACAAAGCCAGAGGCTTTGATGGCCTTGAGCGCTCTAGTACCCCTTTGATGACCTTATGTCTCTCTTGGGTGTTAAAAATGATAAATAGTGACAAGCACTGACATAGTAGGATACACGTCGGCCTTGAAAAATCCACACCTTGATGAAGAAACTGATCGATATTTTCGACAAACCTCTCTGTTTCAGATTCGCTGTAAAAAGGTTCCTTTCTTTCTCAGAGAAGTGAAAGCTGCACTTTACTGTTCATTCGCGGCGCAAATTCTTCATTCCCTCCGCCCATGCTTCGTGCCGGCGACCCGAAAAGCTGCGGCACCATCCATATCCACGAGCAGGAGCACCAGCAGGAGCAGCATCGCCATCGGCTTCAGTGCGGTTGATCGCCAGCTGAGGGGAGCACCGCGCAGCGTCAACGCTTACCGCGTCGCGTCAACGCCGCGTCTTTTTGCCGCAGTGCCAGTCAGTCAACCGCGACCGCACCTCACGCGGCCAACGACCTCATGCAGCCTCGCGAGGTCCGACCTCACGCACATCGATCCTTTCTGCTCAGGAGATGACACGAAATGGCCGCGCTGGTTTTGGGCCTCGTCGTGGCCACGGCCGCCGTGGCTGCACCGGATTGGATGGACTGTCCAACACCATGCAGATGCAAGTGGAGTTCTGGGAAGAAGACCGCGCTCTGCAGAGAAGCTGGGTTCACTTCCATACCTGGGACTCTTGATGAAGACATCCAAGTCCTCGACTTATCTGGAAACGCCATCTCCAAACTATCTAAGTCTGCGTTTGAAAACGTCGGACTGATACACCTACAAAGAATATACTTATCCAATGCTGGACTCACTGAGATTCATCGAGACGCATTCAGGAATCTCACGATTCTCATTGAGGTCGATCTCTCACACAACGACATCAGAGAGTTCCATCCGATGACATTTAGAGGAAACGAAAGGCTTAGAGTGCTCTATTTAAGTGGCAACCCTCTCACCAAGCTAGTTAGAGCTCAATTCCCACCTCTACCACACCTCAGAACCTTGGAGCTAGAAGGCTGCAACCTAGAGTTCGTGCATAAGGACGCTTTGATTTACCTGGCAGCACTAGAAACCTTAAACCTCAAATACAATCTGCTACGTAATATCTCCGAAGCCACCTTTGTAAACCTAGCAAACCTGAAGACTTTATTGCTAGACAGTAATCCTTGGAGATGTGACTGCGACTTACGTGGTTTCCGCAACTGGTTCCTCAACAGCAAGCTCTACTCATTACCGCTACTTTGTTACGAACCTTTGAGGCTGACAGGAAAGCATTGGGGAGACGTACCTCCAGAAGAATTTGCATGTCCCCCGCAATTGTACCCTTATCCTCAGCTTCAGGTTCAAGCTGAAGCAGGAGGACGTATAACGTTCGGATGTCGAGTAACAGGTGACCCAATCCCTGAGGTATCTTGGCTCTATGATGGATACCCAATTAATCGCACCTGGATCATGATAGAAGCAGAATATCAGTGGACAAATGTGAGTGTGAATAACGTGAGTGAAAGTGATGTAGGGACCTACACCTGCTTGGCCAAGAACCTTTTGGACACCGCTTCAATGAATTTCAGCCTGGTGCTTCCAGAGGTAGTTACTGCGACCACAGTGAGCAAATCGAACAATAAAATCGTTTGGTGGGGACTCCTAGTTGTCAGTTTGGCCGTAATGTTCTCGGCAGTGATTACCATTACCGCAGTGTGTTGTGTGAGGAACAAGAATTTGACTCAAAGGAGAAACTTGAAAGCGAGTGTTAGTTTTACGGATCAGGAGAAGAAACTGTTGGATGTGAGCATTGCGACGACTACGGATCGGGGTTCAGATAGTTGTGAAGCTTTGGGACCTGAGGTGGAGATGATTGAACCACCTGTACATATTACTATTGAAAGGGAACCGGTAAGTTCAAATTTGGTAGGAAGAAAAATTAATACGATGTGATTCAATTCCAACAAATTGAGGCTCAAGTTTAGGGAAAGTCCGGGAGAAGTTGTCAGACTAATTATATAAGATATCAGCCGCACGCAACAGCTTTATGCGATTTTCTCACACTGATTAAATGCTTACCTACTAGCATTTCAGTTTAGGAGTTATATTGGAAGGTATGTTTGGCACGTCATAAGTGAAAAAAATGATTCCTTCAGAGTTCTAGATACGATTAATTTGTACTTTTTTAAACTGATTGTATAATTATTATTGTTCAATACTAATACAGCAAATATATATGATCACTTCTAGTTCTTTGGAAAACCATCAGCAAATCCAAAATGACATCGGGAGACTCGCGTAGCACCGGGAGACCTCACCCGGAGGTCAACAAAATTTTGACAGCGTGATAACGACTATCAATAATAAAGTATTGCTGATATATGCCTCCATAATAATAGCTCAAAATTATATTTTTAGAAAGTCTTAGCTAAAAAGGTATTAACGTTCGATTCCCTTGAAATGAGCCGGTTTTGAGAAAAGCTGTTTTCTTTCAACACAGCTCCTATCTATAAACACTGCAGCCGAACAAAGGCCGACAACAGACAAAAAGTTAATTGAGTGAACTGAACATGCTTGAATATCTTGGGTCGCTGATTAGGAATTACTTATGATTTTTAAATAATTTACAACATATAAAAGATTTTTCATATACGTATTTATTTTTTGTGTTTCATGCTTAGAATAACCGCTTGTTCCCATATGAGTCTTTTCTAATTTATCTATTATATAAATTAATTTTAATCTCAAGACCAAAAACTGACAAACATTGATTTAAATTTAGCCAAATATCATGTCCAATAAAATTGTCATCTACGCGGACAGTGTATAAGATACTATTTTTCAAGAAATCCGCTAGATTCATTAGATCCATTACTGCAAAATGCCTTCTGATTGGTCGAACGTATGCCATAGGTGCAAATTTTGTGCCCAACAAAGTAAATTCGGCATTTAGTAAAGTAGAACTCACGAATTGTGCTTCACTTTCCAGTTTTAATCATGATAACACGTTCATTCTACAATATGTTACACTGATACAGTTTCCCGGGCTTCCTGCAACTCTGAAGTAGGTGTTTATAATGCAAAATTGAACTTAGTATAATGCATTTTTTGAATGTGTTATGATATGAACAACACGGAAATCCGTATCGCTTGTTTCTGTCAGTTTGTCTGTTAATCTCTGGCATTTAGTTTTGTTATCCTCACTCAACTTTTGTAAACTATAGGGTACTTAGTATATAACTAACTAATTTATGTTTCTATCTTTAGAATAAAATGGAATAGATTCAATTTATTTAACACAATATTTTACGGAAAGTTGCATATCAAAAAATGATATAAATGCATGTAGGGGAGACCGGGGCTGGTTGTGACATTTTTTTTCAAACTGTCATATCTTCTTAGTGGTTCAATTGTTTCACCTGAGTATTGGTTTGTTTGATGAAGTAACTATTCAGGATCTTTTACCAAAATATATTTTATATAGCAGACAAATAGCAATGACGTAAATAAATGGATTCTGAAAAGAAAACCGTGTAACTTTCAACCCCATGCAGGGGGCTGGTTGTTACATTACATGGGGCAAATTGTTACACTAAGAAACAAACGTATTATAAGAGTTTTTATTAGGAACACTCAACATAATTAGTCACTTTTCTTAATTTCAATAATATGCTTATATCTATAGAGCAGTATTTTGCCTCATTACAACGAAAACATCTAAAAAGAAACAAAATTACAAACTTAACATTGGGTATTCTTCATTAAATCAAAACATGGATAATTTTTCAACTACAAGATTATAAACCTCTGTAGGTATTAAATAAAACCTTCGTGCCTACTAATCAACATAACGTATTTTGTAATTGAAGATAAACTACACTTAAAAAAATACCAAGCAGTTTAGTCACTGTAGTCTGAAAAATCACTTTCGCAGTTCACACATACGTAATATGCAATATTTCCTCTAACACATTTCACATGTGACCAATTCTTGCAAGCTCTACACTGTACCCACTCCTCACCAGATTTCTTCGGATCAAAAGGATCACAACACATCAGACAAAAATATCCATCCTCTTCTGCACTTTCTTCGTCAGTGTCATGTAATACTTTCCTCTTTGCAGCAAGGATTCTTTTTTCGTTACTTGTTTTCCTTCTCTTATTGGTATTTTCCTGTTCTATCTCTGTCTTCTTTGCTGTAGATTTTCCCCCTTTATCTGACTTTTCTTTTTTGGATTGTTTATCCTTCTTCTTACTCTGTTCCAGAGCCAAAGCATTTTTTTCTGGTGTATCAGTTAAAATTGCTGATTTGCGAGTTTTTCTTCTTATCTTGGTTGTTCTCGCAGCAGCTTTTTGATAAGGCCGAACAGTCTCGGGAGAAAAATTATTTTCGTTAGGCATCATATCTTTACTACAGCCAGCAACTGGGTTAGCATGAATGGAGCTCTCGGGATATGCCATGGCACTCTGTATAGGAGAATGAGGAGGAGGTAGAGCTGAAACATAAGCCTCCCCGTTCTGTGTCGTAACAGGAACATTTTCGATGTTCGAGTTGATCGTTTCGCCTAGTGGTCTATCAGTAACAAAAGCCGACAAAAAGTCATCATCTTGAAAAATATCTTTATTGAATGGTGCAATACCAGTCTTCTTAAATCCGTTAATAATGTTCTTGGGATTTAATGCCAAGGGTAAAGCATTTTTCACTATTGATGGTATATCATGTACAGTCATTGTCTTTCCTGGATTATTTCTAAGCCAACCATCTTGTTGACTGGCACAGTAATTTTTGAATGGTCCGTAGACCGCCACATCCATAGGCTGGAGCTTATTCGAACAGTGTGGTGGGAAGGACAGCAATACCACATTATTTTCTTTAGCCATTTCGACGACATCAATATCCAAGTGTGAAGAATGATTGTCTAATAATAAAAGAACAGGGTCAGATGGAGATGGTTTCACATTATCTATGAAATGCTTCATAAATGTTTTGAATTCAAGTCCAGTCATCCAGCCACTTGCGTTTCCGGCGCCAATGCAGCCTGGAGGTCCATCGCGAACAAAATAGTCTCTGTATTTAATTCGAGGGAAGATAAACATACATGGCACCGAGTTTCCCACTGCATTTGCTGCTGCGCAGATAGTTACAAGAGTCCCTCTCTCTGCTGATGTGATGGAACCAACTTGTTTAGATCCTTTTGGAGCTAAAACTTTTCTTGGTTTCAGTACTGTTGTCACACCTGTTTCGTCTACATTCCATATCCGTGCCAAAGGAAATTTATATCTATCCATCACATCAGCCAATTTAGAAAAGAAATCACCAACATTCGTTTTATTGAATGATGTGGCTCTGCTCAAGCTTGTAGCTTCTGGTGATCTTATAGATAACGACTTATTGCGTTTAAGAAATGCCGCTAGCCAATCAGACCCTGCTTCCTTTTTGTCTAGCCACGATTGTGGCATTACAATGTTGTGCTTAAGTGCACAAGAAAATGCCAGTTGCTTGACATCCTTTGGCGTTAGTCCGTAGTAAATTTGGCTGCATTTAATCAAATAACTCACCAAAATTGCCTCTTGTTCATCGTTAAAAACTTGTCTATTCTTCTGGTAGCCGACTGTGAGAGATTCCACAGGTGTGCCCTTCTCTTTTGCTTGTTTTCGTTTCTTTAAATATCTTGTTAGCGACATATGACATAATCCGAAATCCTTAGCGATGCCACGAATTTTTTTAGTTTTGTCTTCCTCCAAAATAACTGCTGCTTGCTCATAAATATCTTTAGATATTTTGCCCCGCTCCGTTTTTCTTATATACGTCCTCATCCTATAAAGAAAAGACAAAAAATATGTAGCACAAACTATGTCAGTCGGAAACAAGCACTACGGGGCAGGTAGTGACAAATCACAACCTGCCCCGAGCAAACGTAACTTTTAGCCCCACCGCCAAATCTGATCTTTTAAGGTTATGTAGTGAAAACGACAATAAACGTAGCTGTATAAAAGTAGATTAATTGCAAAGCGCCAGCACTAGGGCATAATAATCACAACAAGGATATCTCTGCCTTTATGTAACATAGGTTGTAAACCAATATTACTAAAAGTATAAAATTTTACTAACCTGCGATTTTAATGGCAGCATGCACGTGCTCCCCTCACAAAAACGCTGGCACCACTGGCTCCCGGGGCATGCGTGCCGGCAGTGGCGGGAGTATTTGTCCCTTTCTAACGTCAGTATTGCGTTCTCTGTTCCGCGATCATTGCCACTGTAACAACCTACCCCTGTCACTTTCAGCCCCGGTCTCCCCTACCTGGAAGATTCACAGGCCTGATCACTTTTATTTGATTGATTTCGGATTTTGGGGGAAATTTTTTAAAGGCCCCCTAATTGTTGCTTTCTAGCTGCTCTATACATGGCGCTACAAAAAAATGTGGTAATATTTCTAAGGCATTAAGTAGACACAAAAATAACACGAAAAGTTCATATATACATGAGTCCTAAGATGTCCCCTTAAATATGTTAAAATTATAATTTCGAAACTGAAAAAAAAACATCTTCAGAGCTATTTACGATATTAACATAAAATTTTGTAGTACTGACATTATAGCAAATACATGCAAAAAAGTTTTCATGCCTGAGATTACACCCGTCGTGTAGAAATAGGCAACATTTTGCCTTTGCAGCAAAAAGAACGTTTACTTTCCACGCCACTGACTTTATTGAAACATCCTTAGGTATTCAGGTATTCACCTGAATCTCCTCTCTTGAGAAGTTTTTGTTCTGTTCGTACATCAGTCGCGAACCTGTCAGTGACCGCGTCCAAGATCCGGCCATATGAATTCCGTTCACTCTATTAGGCTATATAGACCGAATTTACATGTCCGGATCCCAGACACAGTCACCGATCACTGTACGAAAAAACCTATAATCATCTAATGATGAATCGATATTTTGGGGCGAT